GTATCGAGATAACTTCTATCGAGAATAATGTAATCATAATCCTGTCCTAATCGCTTAATTTCATTCATTTCAAAAAAGTATGCATTAATCATCGCATATTGAAAAAAAAATGGATAGATATCCTGATTATGTTAAAATAAACGTAATTCTCTTTCAAGATTTTGTGCAACTTCTCCATATAACATAACATGCTTTCCCTTTTCAGTAAGGTAATTCGAAAGCTCCCACGCGAAGGTTGTCTTTTCTATCGCAATAGCTCTGGTTATAATAATGATCTTTGGATTCTTTTTGCGAATATTAGCAATGGAACTGCCAATGAAATCAAAACTTCTAATCTTGATTAATAAAAAAATGAATATGATAAACGCGATCTTAAAAATAAATTGATAGGTCATTTCAACAAATTCAATATAATAATTTATCGTCGATCGATATAGGTGCATAATTATATTATACAAATTACACCCCACCCTGGTGCATAAGCACTGGATGAGGTTTTCTTTATTTATATTTTAAAACATATCAATCTTTAATATTAGGATTTATTCTTTTTGAACTAGTAAAATCCTCATCCTCGATCTTTCTTTTTTCTCCTTTCTTTCGATTAACTCTAAAACTACTAATACTTTGTAAAATACTATCATATACCATTCTTAATGGAAATATTAACGGATATTCTAAATTATCAATTTTCCTGTAATTAAAACTCATCCACCCATCCAAAGTCTCATGAACACATGCCAAAAAAATATTACAAATGTTTAATACATCATCCATTAGGAAATACTTGACTTCCATAATTTTTTAGAGATTTTTGTGTGGCATAATAATTCCAGTTTTATCTTCCACCTCGCGGATAACACACTCCTCAAATTTCTCATATACCCTATCAGATTTCATTCTTAAATAACCACCTGGGACCCAATATTTGTCATCGTGAAGATTCATCCATACATTTTTGTCATCATCAATCAAAATACAAAATACAGTAAACATAGTATTTTTTTCAATTGCTGAATTCTTTAACTCTAACTCTCTCAACTCAATATCAACGCGATCAAATTGTTCCTGAACTTCACCTCTATCTTTATACAATGATTCATCGACAAGTTTATATGCATTCAGCAATAATCCAATCTTCTCTTTATTCTTGCGTGCAAGTCTCAGATCATTCAAAAATACCAAATGTTTCTTCATCATCTTATCCGAGTATTCGATTATATTGTTGAAATCAGTTATTTTAAAGTTATGTAAATAACACCCCATCCTGTGCGCAAGGCACTGGATGGGGTTATTTATCAATTTTATTAAAATTAATTAACACAGAAATTATAATAATCATGACAATTATATATTTGAAACTAACATTCACATCCAATTTAATCCTATTAATATCCAATTTTAAATCCACTCTCACTTCTTTCCCATCTGACGTATTTGAAATTTCATAATTTGCATTTCTGTAATAGGATATGATACAGTCTGAAATACTATCTTTA